GGTTGATCTGGAGCAAAACGATTATGTTCTCTCGGGGAATAGGGTTTCTTCAGTAGGAGAAGCGGCTTTCTTCATCTGACAGTTTCAATATACGACACATATGCGAAAGCCAATGTCTTTTATAGCGCCTGGAAGTTGCTGTTTATGACGAACGCTTCTAACTCAAACGAACCGTGCGTACAATAGATAGGAGCAACGGTACAAGAGGTTGATCAGCTTCATTCTTTCGTTTTCATCATCTGTAGCAACGGCACCGGATAATCAGAGTCAAATAAAAGATCGGCACTGCTTTCAGTGCTTTCCTAGCCTATATAGAGTCTGTCACACATTCCGACTGATTTAGGAACACTTTTTTCCATAAAAGCCTACCTGTTAATACGAAACAGACTACCGTTCTAATGAAAGTCAAGAAAAACAGTTGAACAGTGCTGACCTTGAAGCGTAATGACAGTTCAATGGCAGTACCATGTAATAAAAGACTCTATTTACTTACATTTACATATATCTTCAGTCGACGCAGAGACAGGTAAAAAGGCTGGCCTTTTTAAACAAACTGCATAAACGTAAACTGTCTGCTCCAGCCCATGAGCATCTTAAGTGGGAACAAAAACACGACGGGCACTGACCACCAAATCAGCATGTGCAACAGAGATCTCTCAGATGATAGAAGCACATCTCTCAGACATGAACCGTTCCAAGATGTTTTAATCAGAGCCTTACGACGAAACCAAAGAAATGAGAAGAACCCAACGGACAAGCTAGAGAAATTCGGCTAATAGAAATCGCTTAAAGTACTGATTTCAACAAAAGACACAACAAACTTAGGGAATCACAGAATGAAATGGATCAAATTTACTAAATTCCTGGAGTGCAGTCCAAGTGCAATCAATAAAGTTTATGCAACTGGCGGAAGAGCGCGGCAACTGAAAGACTTTAAACCTTCCTCTCTTCCATCAATCCCTAAGAAATAGCCGTTTATGTAATAGATAAATGAATATACGCATTCCTAAGAGAATTCATTCGAATTGCAATTCGAATGGAACAAAGAAGTACCTGTAGCGCTCCGTCTTTTCCAAAACATTATAACCTTCGTCAAGACCAAGGTTTTCGCGCACTCCTAAGCTTCGCAATTCCTGATTACAACGAAGAATTTCAGTAATCAGCGGCGCCTATACTTCATTTTATGCCAGCTGATAAATACATGAAAACAAACAAGTCGAAACTCGAAAAAGAGGCCAACAAGTTCTCACTGATAGCCAAACAGTTGCCTTCATGACAGTTTCGCCATTCAGTTAAAGGAAAAGAAAGTCTGTTACCACTGCTACATCAACCTCATTTATACTTCCATGATTTAAGACCACTTGTGGCACCTTTTTCTCGTAAAACTAGATGCGGTGCTAATTTCCGTCTCTGTATGCTCTGTCAAGAGTGCCTTACATTCATTTTTAAGACTATTTTTACAGTTAGGCAGCCAGCATAGAATGTGGTCTGCTGATTCTTTCCAGGGTACCTATATTTACTTGCTGAGTGGTACATATATTTATCGGAAAAATGAAGGGCGATGACCTACAACGGCGAACCGGGGACCTCTCGACTATGAGTCCAATGCTATGACGACCGAGCAAGCTTGGTAATTTAAAGCACACTACATGACAAATCAATCAAATAACTCACCCGAGCCAGTGAATGAGTACTAGCACTCACGCGTTTGTATCAATGGCCATAATGTTGAGGAGTCGTGACTTTACTCTTGCTAATGAAAACCAGGGTAGTCTGGGCAATAGTTTGAAGAAATCAGCCTACGTCGAAGAAGAAACGCTCTTCAGAATTAAGAATTACTTTGCAGAACCATTTTTTTCACCACGCTAGTTGGTTTAGTGTTCTTCAAACTATCCACACTTAAGAGTTGAACCCAACCCTACGTACTGCGACTTTGAGTTTACAATACAAAACGTCCTTCTATATCAGTACATTTCAACCACGCTGTTGAACAGAAAACTATGAAACAAAGACCAAAATAATACCTTTCGCAAATTCCGGGGGACAGTTTTCCAAACATTGTTCAAACAAATCCCGCGCACGTTCCAGCTTTTTACCACCCTAAATATCAACTTATCGGTCAAAAACCAGTGATGAAGTAGACATGAAAATTTTACGTATCGTTCCATGAACTTGATTAGATAATTGTTCCATATCTCATACACATTCGGCCATTTGAACAGCGCGATGCCTTTCTCGTACGCCTATAAAAATGCAATATATGAAACAACACACGGTAAAGGAATTCGACTATTAAGAGCTGTCGTACGCCATTGCTACAGGTATTGCTAAAAAAATAACGCCCTTGAGGTCCCAGTTCAGGAGATTGCAGCTGTCTCGTTAAGTTCTGTCTTCCTTTGGTGCGATGTTTAAGAGTGAGAATCGATCGATCAAGAGAAAACATGTTTAGGCATGAATACCCCGCCCGTAGTCTATTTGATTAGGGTGGAGTCTTCTATCAACAGTCTGTTCAATGTTTCCAGGATACTCCATGAGAAAAGTTTTCAAGAAGTAGACAGTATCGCAAAAATACAAGTTAGCGCAGTCGGTTGCCCGCCCCTTTAAATATGGGAACAATCATACCATGCTTAAATTTTTCAGGGAGGCACTTTGAGGTCTACTTTTATGAAATATGGCATGGAACTTCTCTATTACTTCCATTCCGCCAAAGTGATTTAACTCTATAGTAATTTAATCCATACAGGAATTTTTTACTTTGAGGTGCAGCAAAGCGTTTCGATTTCTAGTTTTGTAGGAGGATCTACACTAATGCCTAGTGCTAGTAAGAAATTAACGGTGGGAAGGAAGATTATGCAAAACAGATTTTGAGTAGCCACTGAAAATGTTCAGCCTATCTTTTAAGGTGTTACTTCTATCTGCTACTGGGACACTATTAGAATCTTGGATGTTGGAGAGCGAGTTCTATGAATACCAAACAGCCGTCGACCTTGGGAAAACTGTTCACTTTGGAACGGTGCAGGTGATCATCACATGATGCAGTTGCGCATAAATATACCAACGGACTACATCGCGACTCAAAGAGTCGAATGCGCAAAATATAAAATTCCACGTTAACTTCTGATCTGTCACAAAACTAAGTTAAACGACACCTGTCATCCACGGTACCACTTCCTGTTAAAGACGACTGCTACGTTAGAGACTGCCAATTAATTTTTAATGCATTTGTTTCTCGTCAGTAATAAGCACCGTATGTATCCTTGTTTGCAGAGAATGAGTTCGCTGGAACTGATCCACTGCGAGAGTTTTTCAAGGTCTTTCGTACACTGCACGAAAGTACCAATGCTTTGATGGATGAAATGTTACCAACATATTTTTTTCAATGGAAATCCTTATACACTAAGCACTCGTTAATAAAAACAGAACAAAAGCGATGAAATGCGGCCCTGTTGACGCCCAGACTCCTGCCTAACCAATTGAATCTGAGCAACTCAGTGATTAAAGTTTTACTGGCTTTAGACGTAACGAAAACAACAACGGTGTTTTCCTATCGCTGCCTTCTTCGTGTGCTTATGTTTGAGAGTCTGAAAAGGAGATAAAGGCTCAATACCATAGTCGAAACGTTACATTTGTCAGTGTACACACTCGATCGAAGTGTACAAACTTTCTTACCCTGAACGCTTCTTCGAAAAACTTGTGTTCTTCAAGAAACAATCCGTAGTTGATAATCATCTGCGGAGTAGCGATTCGCATTTCGATTATGCGATCGTATACGGCTTTGCACGACTAAAAACGAGCCGGCTGAAACTGAGAGCCAACCAGACGACGAAAAGACCTTACCTCAAATGTTCCAAAGCTTTCCTCCATGTCGGCAAACAGACTCCAAATTTTCAGCGATCTGTAGACACGATTCTGAACAGGTTCAGTCTGAAACATGCACCTTGCGATAAGATGAAATCATCCAAGATAAAGATGTAACATCAGGCAAAAAATTAATCCACATGCAGAAAATCCCGAATGGTTCTGGTTCCTCCTAATGGCACTTTGTGGTCTTATTCGAAGGGACCTGTGTTTCCAAAATAAGACTCCCA